TGGCTGCCAGAAGACCCCAACTCCCATCACACCCTCCAGCCCCAGAAAACAAATCTGAGTAAAATGTTATTCCAGTCATTAAAATTATTGTTCTATTTTTTTTAATAGAATGATACAGTTTTTTTTACGCTGAGCGTAGAATTTATTAAAATGCCTTTACTAAAACTTGTCTTTAGTTTTTAGTAGAGCAAGGAAGGGTTTGGAAAGATGTCTGATTTTTTTGCGGTGTCCTCCCTGGTGAGATTTACTCAATCCAAACTCTGAGTTGTCACCTGAACAGGAACAGAGAGGAAATATTTCAATATTGTCACCTATTCTGGCCACAACTAACTAAGAAGGGACTTCCCTCACATTTGAGAGATTGCCTTCAATTTCTGTTGTATATCGATGGGACAGGAGGTGAAGGCAGATTTCCTCAACAGCAAGTTCTACCCGATGTATAGCCAGACAGATGCCATTTGCATGGCACTAGTGCCCCTAGATGGCCCTGACGAGTATAGGAAATTATAAATGAACCCCTAAGTCTTGTGATTTATATGCACCCATATGCTATTGGATATTGTTAAATGCAATAGCCAATAGCAAGCTGGCTATTGCACCCGCCCACTGTCTGCTGTCAATCAGCATGGGGGGATCTGATAGAGAACTTTCTCCTTCAGGCCCCTCCTCTGCTGATTGACAGCAGGCAGTGGGCAGATGCAATAGCCAGCCTGCTATTGGCTATTGCAATTTGAAATATCCAATAGCAGGTTGGCTATGGCTCCCAGCATTAAAATACAAAAAAACAAAAAACAAAGTTTAAAAAAATAAATGTAATTAAAAAGACCAATTTTTTTTACAAAATGTAAAGAAAAAGTTAAATAAATAAACATTAAAAAAATGCAAACAAATAATAAAAAATAAAGTTTATAAAATAAAATGAAAAATAGAAAAAAACTTTTTTTGCTGTGTCATTTTAAATAAAAAAATGTTTGAATTAGATTATAATCTTCTGAACAACAGGAACAGACAGCAAAAGAACCGTGACCCTTCCCTATGCTATCCAAAACTAAAAAAATGTTTTTTGGCTGGAGTTACACTTAAAAAATGTACCTGTTCCGACTTACATACAAATTCAACTTAAAGGAAAACTATGAGGTGAGTGCTTTTCACTCACCTCATAGTTCTAGCCTGTGAGATAGTTCTAGCCTAGTTCTAGCCAATGAGACTGTCACAGGTCCCCTCAGTAGATCGTGAAGTGAGCGAACACATACTGGCATTCACTCACTTCTCGATCCTGTCACAGCTCTCTGCGAGTGGCTGGATTCCCCTCTCCCCGCTCCGATCCTCCAGCGCTGACTGGCGGAACGGACGGGGGAGGGGGCGGGTATAGCTGGCTCTGCCTCTAGATAGGCAGAGCCAGCTGTCACTCATGCAGCTGGGCGGATCCAGCATAATTGTCAGGATCCGCTTCAGCTGCGGCGTCTCAGTATACCACGAGCTGCAGCTTGTGGTATACTGAGCTTAGGGTGACGGGAGGACGCTAGTTTGTGTCCTCCAGTTACCCTAAGGAGAACTATGGGGAAAAGCCTTAACCCCATAGTTCTCCTTTAGGTACAAACCTAAAGTCCCTATCTTGTATGTAACCCGGGGACTGCCTGTATTGGTTTCTGTGCCTACTTGTTCTGTTGGCAAAAACAGTACCCGATTTCCTTTATGGGCATCACAGGGACAGGGTGTGAAGGAAAATCTTCCCAGTTGGGTTGCAGAGAGAAATAAAAATGGTAGAAATGTTAACTTTTCCCCACTCTCTGTAGTATGAGGGCCTACCTAAACATGTCCTTTAACTTATATAATCAAGTACACTTCATAGTTGTTGGTAAATCTAAAGGCAATTGTACAATCAGAATGTAACATACTTACCAACTTTTTGAGTCCTGGTTCCTGGGACACAGTTAACCCACTCACAGTCCGTTCCAGGCCCTGCCAACTTACCAGAGTGGCCCGCTCAAACACACTGCCTCTAATCATGTATGGACAGCCCACTCGCAGTCCTTGACCACTGTAATGAATGCCTTATAAGATAAGGGTGACACTGTGAACCTGGA